CGGTTTCTCCAAGTTTTGTGACCTACGTATTATTGGAAATGGTTAAGTCCGTGATGCACATCTGGAGGACGGTCCTCGTCTGCTTCACAGCCAGTATCACATCCCAAAGGAAGGCTGTCATCAGCCCATCAGTCTCATGGTGGGTCCTCTGGTAAAAACGTTCCACCAGTGCTATGGGTGGATCACAGGTCCAGCCACTGCTGCTGAAGGCGGAGGTGATCTCTGGGTAGGCACAGACGACGTGGAATCGTTCATTCGAAGCGCGTCACAAGCGCACTTACGCCGCGCTTCAACTTGTCCCTCGTTTTGCATTCGCAAACTGCTCTGATCTTCAGCTGGTTGCGCGCCAGGACCCCAATCTGAAAGCATTTCAAGAAAATTATGCACAAGGTTCTTGCACTGACCGAGAGGCTTGTTGGACTAGAGACTCCTCATTTTCAGCCCAAGAGGTCGTGGGTTTCATTTGCGCGTTGAATGATGTTTGGAAAATCGTAAGCCTACTGACCGATCGCCTCCGGTTGATTTCAGTGTGTGCAATAGGGCAGGACTGTGTTGGTTGCTCATTTGTTTGTCTACTTTTCAGAAACGCAGCCCATCCTCCCATTGAGGGACTACCGACTTCTTTCAGCCCCATGAATGCTCGCCTGGGCTGATGGAAGCTGGAAGCACTCATAAGTTATAAGCTTGTTAAAAACTGGACACAGGGTTGCGTCAACACGCTTGCATGTCGATAGAAGCCTTTCATTCTGTGGCAATCTAGTGGTTTACAGCAGTATGGCATGGGCAGAGTGACCTCTTAGCAACACTGTTGAAATCCAGCCTCGCAAATAAGACCTTTTCGCACTCCAGAGCTAAGTCAGCATGCAAGTGAGTGTTCCGACGTCTGCTGGCCAATCATTCGTCGCTGTGCTGGGTACGGGAAAAAACGATCACGGGCAAACCTCAACCGGTCAATCAGGTGCATAAAAGGCCAGGCAGAGAACGCGCAATTTGCATAGACTTTGTTTGAACTTGTTGCGGGACCTCGCTGTACAGAAATGCATGCGTCCCGTCATGTTCATGCAGCGCGCAGCAGCGTCCAACAAATCTGCGCCAGCGCTGCTCGTGTGTCAACGCCTTGAACCGTGACGAGCGAAAACTCCAAGACCTGGGGCACCATTGGTCTGCCAATTTTTAACAAGTGTCAAAATCCTGTGTCAAAATCCTGCAGGAATGAGCCTTGTGATCATAGCGTCTTGAGGTTCTGAGTTGCAAGCGGCATGGCATGCTGTTGACAAACCGCAGCTGTGCACAGATCTTAGCATGCGAGAAAGGTTGCTGCCTGCTTTGCATCTGCTTTGCGCTTAAGTCTTAAGTCCCCCTAATAGGGGCAACTTCTGTTCTGGGGGTTGGTTCTTTTGGGGCCGCTCCCACATTGGTAGCGGAGCGGGTTTTGAGGGGTTGTTTGGGATTGTTGTGGTTTAGGCTGCTCTGCCCCGGATGGCCACTCGCACCCGGCGTGCGGCGCACGCAGAGACCGAGCCTGTGCCGGTCGATGAGGACCTGGAGGGGTCCGACGGAGAGGCAGCTGCTGCTGCCGGTGAGGCTGCCGCTGCAGCTGGAGCGGCCAATGGCCAGGAGAAGGAGGATCCGTTGCAGGCGGATGATCCCTGGGCATTTGCAGCTGGGCAAGCTGACGGAGGTGATTGGTCTGGAGTGGTTCTACAACCTCTGGCAGCAGCCATCAAGAGGCGAGCTCTTCATCGGCTGGGCCATCTCATGGACGAGCGCAACCCACTGAGGAGGCCTTCAGGAGACCGTGAACGAGACACTGGAGGCAATCCGGAGAGCAGAGGTAAGCCCACCCAGGCCAAGGCGTCGAAGAAGAGCAAGGCGGCTCCGAAGCCGCCGAAGAATCCACCGCCGCCGCCTCCTGGCCCTGGAGGATCCGGCGGAGGAGGAGATGATGGCGGTGATGATGAAGACCATGAGTCTGAAGACGGGCAGCGACGCCGGAGAGCAGCGACGCCGGAGAGCCAAGAAGAAGTCCGGCAAGCCGCCATGGAGAGAAGGTGATGGCGACGAAGATGAAGATGAAGAGTGCAGCTCAACGGCCGGAACCTCGGAGACCAAGTCGTATCTGAGAAGGCGAGCTGCTGCAGGAGGTGATCGACCCAGAAGCAGCTTGGGTACGGTCAAGATTGAGGAGTTCTACGGTGACCGTGCAAGGTACATCAAGTGGAAGAAAGCAATCGAGGCGCAGGCGGAGCTCTATCGCTTGGAGGATGCGGAGCTGGCCATGTTGGTTTACCTGAGCACCAAGAAGGATGCGCGGGACTGTTGCGGGCCATCGGCGAGTACACGAAGGGCGGCGGACTGCAGCTGATGTGGGGATTGCTGAACGAGGCCTTCGGAGAAACGGAAGAGGAGCTCTTTGAGAGGGCGGAGGCAGAGTTCATGAACTACCGCAGGCTGCCCGGCCAGTCGGTGGCATCGTACATCGGCCAGATGAAGCGCCTGAAGGCCCAGTACCACAGGGTGGATCCGGACAGCTACATGTCAGACCAGGCATGGGCGCAGAGACTCCTGAACAAGTGCTCGCTGGGAAGGCGAGAGAGGCTGGATGTTTTCTTCAGTGCTGGAGGCCGCTACATTCCGGGCGACATTGAGCGTGCTCTGAGGTACCGGTGTGGAAAGGTACACGAAGATGAGCGACGTCTACCGGGACGACCACCGCCACCCCAACCATATCGCACCTATAGAGAGGAGCAGGTACGGTGAGTACCAAGCCGGGACCATCGGGGACTCATGTGGTCGCGGATGATGAGGCATGTTTTGATGAAGGTCCGGAAGATCTGGAGAAGGATGAGGAAGCCTATCAGATCTACCTGGACGCTGCATGAAACGGAAGAGGTCGAGATCGAGGAGCCAGACGAGCTGGAGAAGGAGCTCAGCGTGCTCATGGATGAGGTGGTCTTGGAGGAGGAAGACCTTCCGGAGGATTTTTTGAAGGAGGCTTACGCAGACGAGGGAGGAGGCACACAACCACATCGACTCCCAGGCTCCGGATTTGCTGGTGCTGGCCTCGCCCTGCAGCCCCTGGAGCTCGTTGCAGAATTTGAACTGCAGAACCCCGGAGGCGGTGAGACGATTGGCGCAGAAGAGAAAGGAGCATCGCCCTATGCTGGAGTATGCCAATTTGCCCATTCTTGTGGAGGGGCATGACTCTGTTCACCAAGCCGGAGGAAGTGAGAGCAGAGGAGAACGTGGCCTATGTTCAACTGGAGGAGGAATTCTTCCAGGTGAGGGTCACTCAGCCCCGGGCTTGGAGAGAAATGGTCGAGCGTGAGAGAAAGCTGGAGACCCTGAGCGAGGCGCTCATCTTGAAGCTCAAGAGCTCAGGGAAAGAGCTTGACCCAAGGCTCTTTGACAAGGACGAGGCGGCAGCGTTTGCGGAGAGCGATAAGAACGAGTGGGCAAGCTGGATCAAGAACAAGGTGATCGAGAGGATCAGTCCGGACGTGGCTCGGCAGGTGGACCGGATGGTGCGCACGAACAAGAGCAAGGAGGACATGAAGCTCATTGCCAAGACGCGGCTTGTGGTTCCCGGACATCTGGATCCCCAGCTTGGTGACTACCGGACGGACAGTCCAACTGGCCAGTGTTGCTCTGTGCCATGAAAAAGTGGGCTGGGTGGTTCTTTGATGTGTCGACAGCATTCCTGAGTGGAAAGAATGCCACCCGGCAGATTTTGGTCAAAGCCCCACCAGAAGGTTTGCCTGCAGTGGACGGCATGAAGGCTGTTCGCCCTCACGAGCTGATGCGCATCGTGAAGAGTGCCTATGGCTTGCCGGAGGCGCCACGCCTTTGGTATCTTCGTGCTGTGGAGAAAGACAGTACGAGCCATCTGCGACCTGCATGTCGATGACGGCTTTCTGGTGGGCGAAGAGGGAGAGTTTCACTACATCAACGAGCACTTTAAGAGGAAGGAGTGGTCCAAATTGGGTGAGAAGCCTGTGCGGTACCTGGGCACCAGAACTTCAAGGAGTACCGGCGCTTGGTCATGCAGATGCGGTGGCCTGCGGCCCATGTGATGCCAGACTTTTTGAACCGCATCAGTGCCCTGGCTCAGAAGTTTAAGGGGCCGAGCTACCGACGTCAATCGGAGGTGAGGTGATGTTCGTGACCTACTTCGATGCTTCCTTGGGCAAGGAGGAAAAAGGCCAGAGCCAACAGGGAGCGGTTCACTTCATTACTTCAGTGAAGGCGGAGACACAGCCCCTGCGGGGATTTTGGAGTTCAACAGCGGCCGCATGTCGCGTGTGGTCCGCAGCAGTATGGCTGCGGAAGCAGCATCGATGACGATGGTGGCGGATCACCAGCTCTACAACCGGCTGCTCTGGGAGGCGCTCACCAAGGGGCAGTTGGAGGTGCACGGAGACTGGCGGCAGCGGCTGACCACGAGAGGCCTGGTGGCGACGGATGCGAAGAGCCTGTTTGAGCACGTGAAAAAGGTGGGCCACCTCACGGCCGAGAGGCAGACTGCATTGGATCTCCACCTCACCAAGCAGATGGTGGAAGCAGTACGCAGATGCCCTCACCAAGAAAATGGACACCGAGCAGTTCACGGTGTACAGGCAGTTTTGGGAGCTCTGCATGAAGCAGGCCGAACAGGACAAAGTCCTGGAGGAGCGCCGCGCTTCGCTCCGAAGAGGCCAGCGCGAAAGGCGCAAGCTCCGGATGAGTGCCGCCTAGTCAACAGCAACACACTTTTCCCTTTGTGTGAGTTGCAAGCGGCATGGCATGCTGTTGACAAACCGCAGCTGTGCACACATCTTAGCATGCGAGAAAGGTTGCTGCCTGCTTCGCTTAAGTCCCCCTAATAGGGGCAACTTCTGTTCTGGGGATTGGTTCTTTTGGGGCCGCTCCCACAGAGGTCAAGTGTTCAGTGACACCTCCACTTCCGATGGTTCGTAATGACCAACCATAACTGGCTTCTCGGCGAAAAAACACGCGCCGAGGCGCGCTGGAGCCAGTGAGCTCGTGACGCGCCTGGCCATGGTCGAGGCGAGCCGGCTCCGTCCGAAGAACTCAGAATGAGTGCTCCACCAACTCAAAGGTTCCGGCTCGACGGCGTAAATGCCGACTTCAGGTTTTGGGTTGAAGACGCGCTTCGCTTGATTCCTGACCAGTGTTTCGACCCGGCGCTGGTTTGCCCAACGTGGCTTTGCCCGACACGCGCACCGAAGTCCAGTAAAGTCACATCTTGGTTTTGAACAGTTTGGCAGCATCATTTCGACGTAGTGTTTGCTGGGTTGGGAATCTATGCGTGTATTTCAACTAATTGGGCCAAATGATATTGGGGTCAACTCAGTGAAGGCGGGCCCAACAGGTGGCTGGGAGGGCGAGTGCCCGGACCTTGTTCGGTGGGTTAGTTCGTCAGAGGTTGGCAAGTGTTCTTTCTTGGTACGATATTTGGGTGGAACACGGCCTGCGTTTTCCAACCTGTCTGTTTGCAGCGCAGGCTTGGTGTCGACGCCGTGGTCGCTTCCTTTAGGCGTGAGCCTCACGTGCCAAACGCGAATCTGACCCTTGAGATGCGTCCGTGGTTGGCCCATGTTAACTCAGAGTCCTGCCGTTTGTGGACAAGTGAGAACCATTGTGAGTCAACTGTGCCACTAGTCAGAGCCGAGTGAGCCCGGTTGCACACACATCTGAACCAGACATCAACAAATACCTGAGGCATAGCCATGAACGCACGAGAGTGCCATCACGAAAGCACGACTGAAGCTTTGCCCGGCGGCCGGGCCAAAATGGCTTGGGCCAATGTTTTTGAAACGTCCCAGCAAACCAACCAGGGCACCATGAGCCAGGGCCCCTATATCCGGCTGGGGGTTTCAGAAGATTCGGCTGCTTTCCGAGGTTCCAATGTCCTTAGCTTTGCTTTTCCTGGCCGGCCACATAGCGCCTCGGAGGAAGAGCCGTGGCAACGGGAGGTTGAACGCTTGGGCCGGCGTCCGTGTGTGGGGAGATGTCACGTGTTTGTGAGGCTGGTTGGGTCGGCGCATATGGTCAGGCGCTCGTTCAACAGGTTCCACAGTTCCGTAAAGTTGCGCCAGCAGTTCCAAGCCAGGCGTGATTCCGTTGGAACTAGCAACATGCAGGAACACACACGACCGTTCAGAGTTGCCCAAGTCTTTGTTTTTTGTTGGCCTTCTTGCGCACGATATGCCATTTGTCGCACGCGAGCCAAGTCGCCAGTGTGCGATCAGGGTTGCAAGCTGTTGGTTGATACATGGAAGGGGGGCTCCGCCCCTATAGCCTGTAGTGAATTACCAGGGCTGAGCCTTGATGCAAATCGGCGCCTTCTAACTTTAGAGCTTCCGGCTCACTCCGCCAACATTGTCCGTTCCCTTATCTTTTTCTTCCTCTCTCTCTCTTTTCCCTTCGCCCGTTTGTTCCCCCGTCCTCTCTCTCCTACCCACCCTGCCCATCCCCGCTCTCTCTCGCTCTCTCTTTTTTGTTTTTTTTCTCTCTCTCTCTCTCTCTCTTCTTTTTCTCTCCCTCTCTGATTCTCTTTCTCTCATTCTTTCTTTCTCTCTCCCTCTCTCTCTCCCTGTCACTTTTCTCTCTCTTTCTCTCTGTCGCTGTGTTTTTGTCCTCTCCTTATTTTTCTCTTTCTCCGTCTCCTTCTCTGTCTCCTTCTCTTTGTCTCTCTCTCTCTCTCTCTCTTTTTCTCGCCCTCTCTCTCTCGCTATCTCTGTGTCTCTCTCTTTCTCTCTTTCTCTCTCTCTCTCTCTCGTGTTCTCTCCCTCTCTCGTGCTCTCTCCCTCTCTCTCTTTCTTTCTCTCTCTCTCTTTCTCTTGCGCTTTCTCTTGCTCTTTCTCTTTCCGTTTCCATTTCTCTTTCTCTGTTTCTGTCTCTTGCTTTCTCTTTATTTTTCTCTTTCGCTTTCTCTTTCTCTGTCTCTTTCTTCCTCTCTATGCCCCTCTCTCTCTCTCCCCTCTCTCTTTCTCTGTCCTCTCTCTCTCTCCTCTCTTCTCTCTCTCCCTACCAGCGAGCTTCATTTTGAAGCGCATTCTCAAACTTGCTTTTTGGGGTGACAGCAAAAACCTGAACTTGAACGGACGCAGTTCTTAGTGAAAACTTGCGGGCTTGTGACTGAGGCTGACTACCTGGCCAAGGTCGTGCTGCTGGTGCGCCTGCAACACCTGACATGAAGCAAGGCTTCCCTTCAGTCCTTCTAGGTCTTTGTGGCTTCGCTGGCGGTTCTCTATAGTTTGCATTGGGTTTATCATCTGCGTTTGCCCTTTTGTTTCCAGTTAAAAACTCGAAAAAAGGGAGCCCCCGAACCGAACACTTGGGTGGAAGGATCGCGTAGTTTTCTTCCGGCAAATGGACGGCTTGCTTTATCGACGAAGTTTGTTCAACAAAGCGTGTGAAAATAAATCAAAAGGCCAGGTAATATGAGGGCCCCAGCGTTTCACGGCCAGGTGTGCTTATGGCAGGAAGAGGGGCTCCGGGACCGCTTTTGGGCACTGCTGGCGGCCTGGGACTCTGCCGGGCCTTTCAACCAAAGCGTGGCAAGAAAGTGATGCCACTCCATGTAAAAACGAATCGTACACACACACATGCAGAAAGACCGACGGCTGGACATGTTACATTTTACGGTATTTACGCAAGTAAATAAATACGCACCTAAGTACATAAGTGCTTACCTTCCTGCCTAAGCTACCTACCTACGTCCAAACATACGTACACGCACGCACGCACGCACGCACGCGCGCGCACACACGCACACACACACACACACAAACACCCACACACCCACGCACCCGCACGCACGCAGCACCCACACACCCACACACCCACACACCCACGCACCCACGCACACACGCACCCACGCGCACACGCGCGCGCGCCCACGCGCACATGCGCGCACGCGCGCACGCGCCCATGCGCACGCGCACGCGCACACGCGCGCACGCTCACACGCGCACACACGCACGCACACACGCACACGCACACGCACATGTTGCGTGTGTGCGTCCGAATTGTAACTTTGTATGTAGAACAAACATTGAAAGGGCAGAGCTCTTTGTTTTTGTTTGGTCTAAAAAACGGGCCTGCTGCGCTGCCGATGTCTTTTGGAGGTTTCGCGGGCCCGAGTTTGAACATAGAGCCAAATGACTGTATTGTGTGGAAATGGGAAAGCCATCTATATCAGAACTGTCATAAGGACCAACAAATACAGTCAAGGGGCAGCCTTTCTCTGTTGTCTTCTTGCTTGGGCTGAATATGAAGGACCAGGCGGACGCCCGCCCGATGTCGGCCTTTGCCAGCCCGCGCGGGCACATGTTGGACCGCGTAGAAACCGCACAAAGAACGGGGGGCGCATGTTCACTTACTCTGGATTTCGGCCAGTTGTCGGCTCGCCGTGTAGCTCGCTGCTTGAAAGGCATTTTTGTGTCTCGCGGCTCTGAGTCAAGCTTGTAAGAGTTTTGGCGTTGCGCGAAGGCACCTTCATTTTGCCCGGCGCCACCTTACCTTGCGACGCTTTGCAGGACTGCTCTGCGGATGGGCACGCAGGCTTCTTTTGCAACAACTCCAACAAAACCTTGCGCGGCAGGTACACCAGTGCGCTCAAGTGCTGACGTGCTCAAGTGCAACGACTGCAGCAGCCACGACGGAAATATCAGAGTGGGAGAAACGCCACAGGACCTCGTCTCTCTTAACCATCTCATCCTTCAAACCTGCCAAGAGCCTTGTGTTTCTCTCATGACAGCGCGCGTAGTTCTGCTTAGTTCTACTTGCGAAACGCGTATTGTCGCGCACGAGAAGTACGTTGACTCATAGCTCATTTGAACCAGAACGATGCAGTCGACAGAGGCCGGCTCTACACGTGCGTTTGTTAACGGGATCGCGTCCCTTCAGTATGCTTGACAACGCCCGCCACACTAGTTGAGGTCCACGGTCCCGCGCCCTGCTGAGGTGCACTTGCTGGCAAGCTTGCGCAAGGCGTATGAGTTCCAAACACCGGCCGAACCCCGAGTTTTCAGGCCAGCAGGAGCTAGGAAGCATGTCACTCAGCCAATCACACACGTAATGGAAACAAACCAACTTGAACTTGCGACGCGCTGTCTTTGGATTGTTGTGTGAGGCTCGACTTTGACCCCCGCGCTGTAGCAATGGCCCGGGGTCACAGCTCAGGTGGGGCTGGTGACAGCCTTTCTGGTGCCCCTTGTGGGCCTGCTTACACCTCTACTTCAGGCAGGTGGCTCTAAAGGATCATCGGATCCATTGGCTTTTGATGTTTCTGCTGTTGCCCACTTCTTATCAAAGATAGGTTGAGAGCCCCAAACCTCAGAAAATCAAACGCCAATCAATGATCTCTAGGTGCTTGATTGTTGGGGTTGTTGCTATCCACACCGGCCTAGCCAACCGAGATGACCAAGTCTGCAGAATCGTGGCGTCGGAGAGATATGTTGCCCCTTGCTCGCTTTGGTCACGCTGCCACAGGTGAATTCTGATTAGATGAGGGTGCCCAACCCGGTTGTCGCCTTTCTTCTTCTTCCTGGTGTCGCCTATCTTCTTCTTCCACTTGTCGTTCTGCTGGTTGCCTCTTCTTGGTGTTGTTGCTATTGTGCTTCTTTGTTTGTGGTTGTTGTTGGTCCTTCTTAGTTGTTGTGCTTGTTGGTTGTTGTCGTTGTTGTTGTGGGGGTTCTTGTTTGGTTGCATGGTTTACCGGTTGTTTGGTTTTTAGTTGTTTTGGTTGTTGTGGTTGTTGTGGTTAATGTTGTTGTTGATGTTGTCGTTGTTGTTGCGGTCGCTGTTTGTTGTTGTTGCTGCTGCTGCTGCTGTTGTTGTTGTTGTTGGCTCCGACGTTACGTTGTCGTCGTTGTTGTTGTTGTTGTTGTTGTTGTTGTTGTCGTTGTCGCTGTCGTTGTTGTTGTTGTTGTTGTTGTTGTTGTTGTTGTTGTTGTTGTTGTTCTTGTTCTTGTTGTTGTTGTTGTTGTTGTTGTTGTTGTTGTCGTCGTTGTCGTTGTCGTTGTCGTTGTCATTGTTGTTGTTCTTGTTCTTGTTCTTGTTCTCGTTATTGTTCTTGTTCTCGTTATTGTTCTTGTTCTTGTTATTGTTATTGTTCTTGTTCTTTGTTCTTGTTGTTCTTGTTGTTCTTGTTGTTCTTGTTGTTCTTGATGTTCTTGTTGTTCTTGTTGTTCTTGTTCTTCTTGTTCTTCTTGTTCTTCTTGTTCTTCTTGTTCTTCTTGTTCTTCTTGTTATTCTTGTTCTTTTTGTTGTTCTTCTTGTTGTTGTTGTTGTTGTTATTGTTCTTGTTCTTGTTCTTGTTCTTTGTTCTTTGTTCTTTGTTCTTGTTCTTGTTGTTTGTTCTTGTTCTTGTTCTTGTTCTTGTTGTTGGTTGTTGTTGTTTGTTGTTTGTTGTTTGTTGTTGTGGTTGTTGTTGGCTCAACGGGGGGGGGGTTGCCCGGGATTTCAGCAGCGCAACATACTGGAAAACGCTGCACGTCGGACATGTGACTTCTAACTCGGCCCGTTTTTACCAGGACATTTGGCTTTCGGCAGAGTCGAAGCTATACCTGTGTTCGTTGTCGTGTCATCAGGGCGTTGTAGCCTTGTGACACACAGCGCCTTGGCACATACCTCGGCAGATGGGTGCGCGACGTGCTGTAAAACGCAGCAAATATTACACATATCGTTCGGCATGTGCATGTCTTCGCAGATAGTGACTGCGCTTTTCTTTGGCATCTTCATGTCGGCATGATGTTATTAGTCGCACGTCGGGCATCTTTTTTACAAACATCGCGCGCGCGACTTGAAAATCACGGGCAACCCCCCTGGCCGTTTTGTTGCAAAAGCTGCCAGCCGTTAAGCACACCTGCCAAAAGCTGCCAACTGGTAAGCACATCCGTTCAAGTGCACCCGCGCAGAACTGTATCCAAGCACACCAACTGCCAAGCACCCGTTCAAGTGCACCCGCTCAGAACTGTATCCAAGCCAACCAACTGGTAAGCACACCCGTTCAAGTGCGCCCGCTCAAAACTGTATCCAAGTCCATCAGAATTGTATCCAAGCCCACCAACTGGTAAGCACACCCGCTCAAGCGCACCCGCTTAGAAATGTATCCAAGCCCACCAACTGGTAACAAGTGAACTGGTAAGCACACCCGTTCAAGTGCACCTGCTCAGAACTGTATCCAAGCCCACCGGAACTGTATCCGGCTTCCCACCAACTGGTCAGCACACCCGTTCAAGTTCAAGTGGGTGAACTGTATCCAAGCCCACCAACTGGTAAGTCAAGTGCACCCGCTCAGAACTGTCTCCAAGCCAACCAACTGGTAAGCAGACCCCACCCGCTTAGAACTGTATCCAAGCCTATCAACTGGTAAGCACACCCGTTCAAGCGCGCCCACTCAGAACTGTATCCAAGCCCACCAACTGGTAAGCACACCCGTTGAAGTGCACCCTCTCAGAACTGTGTCCAAGCCCACCAACTGGTAAGCGCACCCGTTCAAGTGCACCCGCTCAGAAATGTAACAACTGGCAAGCACATCCGTTCAAGCGACCCGCTCACAACTGTATGCAAGCAAACCACCTGGTAAGCACCCGTTCAAGTGCACCCTCTGAGAACTGTATCCAAGCCCACCAGCTGGTAAGCACACCCGTTCAAGCGCACCCGCTCAGAACTGTATCCAAGCCCACCAACTGGTAAGCACACCCGTTGGTTTTAGTTGGCGAGAGCGGGGCAAAGAGTTTTTGGTCGGGTTCCATGGGTGGGAACCACGCAGTGTGTGTGACTTGATCGGTAACATTGTTCTTCGGGCAAACCCTCCCCCGCCGTTTCGCATTGTTCTTTCCCGGGCAACCCCGCGTCCAACCTTGTTGTTGTTGTTGTTGTTGTTGTTGCTGCTGTTGTTGTTGTTGTTGTTGTTGTTGTTGTTGTTGTTGTTGTTGTTGTTGTTGTTGTTGTTGTTTTTTGTTGTTGTTGTTGTTGTTGTTGTTGTTGTTGTTGTTGTTGTTGTTGTTATTGTTGGTTGTTGGTTGTTGGTTGTTGGTTGTTGGTTGTTGGTTGTTGGTTGTTGGTTGTTGGTTGTTGGTTGTTGGTTGTTGGTCGGTTGTTGGTTGTTGTTGTTGTTGGTTGTTGTTGTTGTTGTTTGTTTGTTTGTTTGTTTGTTGGTTTGTTTGTTGTCGTTGTTGTTGCTGTTGCTGTTGCTGTTGCTGTTGTTGTTGCTGTTGAAGTGGTTGTTGTTGTTGATGTTGTTAGCTGTTGTTGTTGTTGTTGGTTGTTGGTTGTTGGTTGTTTGTTGTTTCTTTTTTTTGTTGTTTGTTGTTGTTTGTTGTTGTTTGTTGGTTGTTGGTTGTTGGTTGTTGGTTGTTGCTTGTTGTTTGTTGTTGGTTGTTGGTTGTTGGTTGTTGGTTGTTGGTTGTTGGTTGTCGGATGTTGGTTGTTGGTTGTTGGTTGTCGGTTGTTGGTTGTTGGTTGTTGGTTGTTGGTTGTTGGTTGTTGGTTGTTGGTTGTTGGTTGTTGGTTGTCGGTTGTCGGTTGTTGGTTGTCGGTTGTTGGTTGTTGGTTGTCGGTTGTTGGTTGTTGGTTGTTGGTTGTTGGTTGTTGTTGTTGTTGCGGGTTGTTGTTGGTTGTTGTTTGTTGTTGTTTGTCGTTGTTGTTGTTGTTGTTTGTTGTTGTTTTTGTTGCTGTTGCTGTTGCTGTTGCTGTTGTTGTTGTTGCTGTTGAAGTGGTGGCTGTTGTTGTTGTTGATGTTGTTTGCTGTTGTTGTTGTTGTTGGTTGTTGGTTGTTGGTTGTGGGTTGTGGGTTGTTTGTTGTTTGTTGTTTGCTGTTTGTTGTTGTTTGCCGTTGTTGGTGTTGTTGTTGTTCTTGTCGTTGTTTGTTGTTGTCTGTTGTTGTTGTTGTTGTCGGTGTTGTCGGTGTTGTTGTTGTTGCTGTTGTTGTTGTTGTCGTTGTTGTTGTGTTTTGTCTTATTGTGGTTGTTTTTGTTGTTTGTTGCTGTTGTTGTTGTTGTCGTTGTTGTTGTGTTTTGTCTTATTGTGGTTGTTTTTGTTGTTTGTGGTCTGTTGTTTGTTGTTGTTGCTGTTGTGGTGGTTGCTGTTGTTGTTGATGTTGTTTGCTGTTGTTGTTGGTTGTTGGTTGTGGCTTGTTTGTTGCTTGTTGTTTGCTGTTTGTTGTTGTTTGCCCTTGTTGGTGTTGTTGTTGTTGTTGTTCTTGTCGTTGTTTGTTGTTGTCTGTTGTTGTTGTTGTCGTTGTTGTCGGTGTTGTTGTTGTTGCTGTTGTTGTTGTTGTTGTTGTCGTTGTTGTCGTTGTTGTCTTATTGCGGTTGTTTTTTGTTGTTTGTTGTCTGGTGTTTGTTGTTGTCGTTGTTTGTTGTTTGTTGTTTGTTGTTTGTTGTTTGTTGTTTTGTTGTTTTGTTGTTTTTGTGTTTTTTGTTTGTTGTTGTTGGTGTTTGGTGTTTGGTGTTTGTTGTTTGTTGTTTGTTGTGTGTTGTTTTTTGTTTTTGTGTTGTTTTGTGTGGTTGTTGTTTTTGTTTTTGTGTTGTTTTTGTTGTTTGTGTTGTTTGTGTTGTCTGTGTTGTGTTTTTTGATTTTTTGTTTTTGTTGTTTTGGTTGTTGTTGTTTTGTGGTTATTTTTGTTGGTGTTGTTGTTTTTTGTGTGGGCATGTTGTCGTTGTTTGTTTGTTGTTGTCGTTGTTTGTTGTCGTTGTTGTCGTCGTTGTTGTTGTTTGTTGTTGCGGTCGCTGTTTGTTGTTCTTGTTGTTGTTGTTGTTGTTGTTGTTGTTGTTGTTGTTTTGTTGATGGTGTTGTGTGTCGTTGTTGTTTATCGTTGTTGTGTGTCGTTGCTGTTTGTTGTTGTTGCATGTTGTTGCTGCTGTTTGTTGATGTTTGGTGTTTGTTGTTTTTGGTTTGTTGTTGTTTGTTGTTGTTTGTTGTTTGTTGTTCTTGTTCTTGTTCTTGTTGCTGTCGTTTGTTGTTCTTGTTCTTGTTCTTGTTGTTGTTGGTTGTTGTTGGTTGTTGTTGTGTGTTATTGTTTGTTGTGTGTTGTCGTTGTTTGTTGTTGTTGTTTGCGGTGGTTGTTGTTGTTGTTGTTGTTGTTGTTGTTGTTATTGTTGGTTGTTGGTTGTTGTTGGTGTTGTTGTCGTTTTTGTCGTTTGTTGCTGTGTTTGTTGTTGTTGTTGTCGTTGTTGTTGCTTGTTGTCCTTGTTGCTTGTTGGCTTTGTTGTTGTTGTTGTTGTTGCTGGTTGTTG